GTAGTAGTAGTAGTATAGGTCGGGTGCGGTGATGGTAGGAGTAGATAGATAGTAGGTAGTATTCCTTAGCTAAGGTAGCTAAGCCAAGCTGTCGGGTCGCCCGGTGCAAAAACAGGTCGATCGAACGGTGGGAAGCGTCGTAGTAGAGCTTTGTTGGCGGGTGTCTTTTTCCTTAATAAGAAGAAAAAAAGAAAAGACAGAGGGAAAAAGAAAAAAAAAAAAAGGGTCGAGGGATTCGGAGGGGTTCCTAAAAGACGGCCGGACGTCTGGAAGGAAAGTCGATGGATCCTCGAACGGGATTAAACTCGAAATAGCAGGTTGACCAAACAAGACTTCCCGTCCGGTCAGTCTTGGAGGAGCGAAAAGTTAAGTTGCTCAGAGTCAGTCCGGGAGTAGTAAGTGGTAGGTCGGCAGGAGTGGATTGATGGATGGATCTGATGGGTAAAAGGCGGAAGTCGAATCTTGCGGGAACACCAACGATGAGAAGGTTAGTTAGGGGGTATGAGCAAGAAAGAGGAGGAGAGAAGGGAGGATAAAATAACTAATAGTTAATGGAAACGCAAATGACAAGGGAAGTGAACTATCAAGCAAACGAGCGATCCAGCGGAGGCTGATAGGCCTTGAAGAGTGTGGCAGATGAAGAGGTCTGCTTGCCCCTCTGTGTTCCCTTCTTTCTGGTGGAGGGAGGGGGGTTATTGGGCCCATAGAAGACCCGGAGCGCGCAAAGAGTAGTAGTGGCAGCTAGGAAATATGGGCGATTTGCTGCTTCTGCAATTCCTTACAGATGATGGGAAACGATGCTGATAATAGTTGAGTTGCGCACCTTTCAATCGCAGATGTCTCCAGTGGGCTGTTGAGATGAACTGCTTTTCTTCCCTTTTTTCGTTGCCTTGATTTCCTCCTCTCTTCTGATGTTTCGCCTTTGCTTTCCTCTGGGTTTCCTTTATTTTCTTTTTTTTTAATCTTTCTTTTGGTGCACGCCTTCTGAGGGGACTGGGTCTTGTAACCCTGAACCAGGATCCTGGTTTGCATGAATTAACACAAGCCACCTGAATTGACAGATCGCCTTTCTAATTCGTCTGGGCAGTCCTGCTTTTTCTTTTTCCTTCTTTTTCTTTTTTACTCCTGCTAAAAAGAGTAAAATAGAAATTGAGGGAAGCGAAAATCGGAAGGACAAGCAAAAGACAAAAAGGGAAAACAGTACGTAGTGAGAATTCCCCTTCAATTTTTTTTTATTCTCTTTTTATTTGATTTTTCCTTTTTTATTATTTTTTTATTTTTTTTCCTTCTCACATTTCATTATTTTTTTCTTTTCCTCTTTGGTTTCTTCAATATCTCAGTTTCGGCCTCTGACTTCTGGTGACAGACCAGAAAACAAAAAGGGCAGAAAGTGGAGCCGCAAACTGGAGCTGAACCAAGACGGGCTAAAACGAGATTCGCAAAATAAAGAAGAAATGAGAACCCACTTACAACCAGCTGTGGTGCAGTCTTGGAAGACTGAAGGAACTGACTGGGTACCGTCGGTTTTTCGATCTGTTGGGGGCCCGCAATCAGCTCCGGTCGTCCTCAGTGCCACATGGATGGGTGGACTGGAGAATAATTAAGGAAAGGCGCTCAAACACACACACCCAACGTCAACCGCTCTCCGTTGGCGGTGGATTACAAGTAGTAGTATTCAATGGCGTACGGGTCCGATTGGGAACGGTTTTTCCTCGGAAAAGGACTTAAAAGAGGTGAGCAGATTGTGAAATGATCGGTGCCCAATACTTCGAGGGTTAGTAACTCCCGTGGCGGAAAGGAAGGAGGTCAATCAATCTGAGTGGTGATGATGATGGTGTAAATTGAGGGGAAACTCATTATATGTTTCCGCCTGAGGGGGAGGAGAGCCTGAGAGGCGACGGTAAATAGGTAGTCGTCTCTTGTCCTATCACACCCGGTGAGTCGATAGGACGCTTCTAGCGACTCGTAGAACTCCGGAAAGACAAAACTGAAACCACAAGTGAAATCGACAATCAGAAAACCAGCCACAGCAGATGGTAAGGCATTCAATTATCCCTCCCAAGGGCCGATTAGATGGATGACTCAACCAGGCGGTAGCACGGAAGTTTACTTGTGTACACACTCGAGACATACTTGCTGTCAACACACACGCGCGCAGCCTCTCGGCTTCATTCTTTCGGTCTGTTGGTGCCCATCCTCTTCTAATCCTGTGATTCGGCTTACTTCACCTGATTATTGGCAAGGGGGATGCTCTCTGCCCTATCTTCTTCACCTACGGGACGGACTCAAATCTAGAAGTCAATTTGTCCCTACAACGGTGTCCGATAGGAGCGCCCTGAATGGCATGCTACAACGATGAAAAGCCAAGCATTATTGTCTACCTGGATTATGGCAGATGAAAATGAGCAGGAACGGCAGAAGTGCCCAGGACAAATGGTGCCCTGACTCGGAGTATGAAGCCAAACGGGAGTGAGGTATGCATGATGCGACCCAGGAGGGAGGGGGAAAGGGAGACCTGAACGACTCTCCGGTGCCCCACGCAGGAGCAGAAGACGGTGAGCACCCTCCACCTTGCTCGGGTGTCACTTGGCCATTGGAATCAAGGGTTTGACTTGCTTCGCCAATGCCGTGCGCTCAGATATGCACAAGGCAGACTCAATAGAGTTCTGCATGGATTAAGGAGCTGAGGGGCGCTTCTAAAAGGCGGAGAAGAAACATATCGGGACACGCTGGTCCTGGAAATTCCCGAAGACGAGAGCATCCAATTCCAAGGTAGACCTCGTTCTTCTTTTTATCATAAATTAACCTAGAGCTGGGTGCAATTCTACACACTCCCAAGCAGCCCTGTAGATTAACCAACTAGCCACTCCTGGGGTCCATACCTGTTATGATCTTAGCTAGACCAGTGCCATGTCTTCCTCTGAAGGACGAGCCACCGTTCGAGTTCTACCCGCCCACCCGCTAAAACCCGGAGCAGCTGGACGATTAGATCATCACCCAGGGAGGCCCCTGTCACCAACTTGCATACATAGTTGCGCACATACATGATACATTTGCTGGTTGTTGCTACGGGGTAGGACGGAGTACGGAGTACAGGTAGAATACCTTAGTCTACTACGTGTTATCATCTTGGTTGTTTACCTTTTCCCACCCCACAGCCAAAGGCAAAACGGCAATTGTTCCCTGGGTCTTCATCTGCGACTAATCATGGTTCACCTCAGGGACAGCCGCTGACTTATCCGCGGTGGTCCGAAGAACGGTAACTTACGGAAGAGAACCTTGGGTTTAGGTCGCAGCTTGTCATTCGGATTACATTCGGCAAACAAACCGTCTCTGCCATGGGACGTGTTCGGCCACCTAATATTCGCAAAACCGCCTAACAGCTCTCCCATGCCAATCTTCAATAGACCTCATCATTAGCGCGTATCCAAAACATGAATGCTAGCAGCCTATCACAGAGAACTGGCCGAGCTAGCTTGTTATACTACGTACTAGTCTACCGTCTAAAGAGTATGCGCAGATATGTATAAGGGGTAGATCTCATGACGCAGCATCGGGGTACCCAGTTTGCCACCTTTTCGGTCGCGTCGTATAGTTGGTTACCTGTTTCGTATTGTGACACGATCACTAGCAAAATCACCAGCTTGAGCCTCTATTTTCCCACTCGTACGGCATCGGTCAAAAAGATAATAAACAGGGACATGAGAGTGGGAAAAAGAGAAGAAAGGGTCAAAGAGCTCTGTGAACTGATTAGGCTAAATGTTTACAGTCTTACTTACTGCTGTCACTCTGCAAGACTGTAAGACGACCGAGTGACTGGGCAAGCACAGCAGCCCGATCACCTTTACCTTCATTAGTGGGGTAATATCAGCATACCGTCGTGGCCTTAACCGTCCCTAATATTTCGGCTGGAATAATTTCGGTCTCGGGAAAATGGAGGGGCTTGGATCCTGATGGATCTCTCGACTTTCCAGCTAACCGCGACTCCGACATTTTATTCTACTCGAACTTGAACTCGTTACCGCAGAGGTCTATGTCCTCGTCTTTGCTCGCATCCAAGCATGAACGAAACCCAACTGACACGAAGTGACCCAACAGCACCCAACCAGAACAACAACCCCCTTCAGATTCACGCCCGCCCAAAGACCCGATTCTCACCGTCTCCCTTCAGATACGGAATCTTCCGTACCATCAAAGTTCAAAGTCGGAGTCAAGCCATGCCTTATTCATTACCGCCAATTGCCTGCCCCTCCACAGGTGACCCATTTCTGGCTTCGGAGAGCCAACGAATTCACCAGCTTGTCTCCCCATTCGGTCGATCCGCCTTTAGTGACGTTCCATGATCCCGTCTCCTGGAACCCACCATCGGCTGGCGGCATGTTGGGTCTGGTCTGTCTTTGAGATTTCAGCAGTTCCCAAGACAAGAAAAAAACTAAGAAAAAAGTTTAAGGGAAAAAAAAGGACCGATGGCGCCAGGCTCCCTTCATAGTTACAGTAAGAAGAACTAACTCTAACCATACTTAATACACCCGCCCGATTCACCACCGACTTATCGTATGCATGGACTAAGAATGGAGTCGCACGATTTCTTTCCGTTCAGGTTCTCCCTTTGAATGGAGATCCTGCAAGGCTGGGTCGACTGGCAAAAGTTAGTAGCAAATGATGTGCATACTGTGCGCCGTACTACACCTATGCGGCAAGTAGGGCCGGAGGAGAAGGCCTACTCTCTGACTCTTTCTCTCTCTCTCTCTCTCTCTCTCTCTCTTTCTCTCTTTCTCTCAAAGTAGTAGTAGTGGAATGGTCAGGTGCCAGAAGCAAGGGATAGCCCTGTCCTTTACTACACATCGCTCGACGTTTTTTACTGGGGTTACACGGGTAGACACTGTGGCTATTGGAAATGGACATTGGATTGGGGAGAGGGGACGATACACATTTGGTGAGAAAACATCCTGGTGCTAGTGCCCATGGCTGATGTTGTTGTCTAACCTGATATGAACCCCCGGGATTTGTTCTGCGAACGACCTAGTGCTAGTAGCAAACAGGTAGGTAAGTAGGTAGTAAGCGCCATCTCAAGATTGGAATTTGCCAGACCTATTTCAGTCATTTGTCTGCTTGGGGGCCCATGTTACCGAAGAAGAAAAACTAAGGGGAAAAAATAAAGGAAAAAGATAAAAATAAAATAAAAGAAGATCTGGAGCTACGTACCAACAGCAAGCAACACAAGGAGAGTCCGATCCCCAACACAACGCAACTACGTCTGTAACCCGCGGGATTTCCTTGACAGCAGAAAACTCCGGCGCAAGCACCATATTACAGTAAACTTAGCTGCCGAAACTCCGGCCTACTACTACCTGACTTAATGCAAACACATGCCAGGACGGGGTTCTCCGTACCGTCCACGGTGGTCGGTAAGTTGGCGTTGGCTGAAGAGTCTGCCTGGCTAGTATGTAGCTAGCTAGCTACCTACCAGGCTACCCTTAACCCACTCAGACCTAAGGATATGTGGAAAAGGCGACCAGCAAATGGAAAGATGGAATGGGATGCGGTCATCACGAGGTCCGGGCGCCATTCCTAGACCGATTACAGGTAAATCTTCGCCAGACCCAAATTGCAGATCAATTCCATGTCTCAGGCCTATCATTTGTCCAGCAAGGACCATCAAGCTCCCTTACCCCTCACTAGACCGGGCAAGTATCCTGACTCCTGACTCTTTCTCTCAAGGTCATGAGATGTGCCAAACCAGATGCCTTATGGGAGGGGGAAGGGTGTTCGGGCCTGGTCAGACCGTCCGATAACGACTTAGATTAATTGCCCGTATACGGGAGCACCAATCGACGGGGATCGGCTGGGCAACTATCTAAGCCCTCAGTGTCCAGGACACATGTACACTTACTACACACACCCGCACCAATTCTTTTTTATGAGAAAAAGAGGTGACAGCGGGACTGCCCGCCTTGTGACTCCGAGAGGGTGGTTCGGAGCGGATCATAATTCTACTGGGCGGTAGGATCGCTAGAGACAAAAAAAAGTGAGGCTGGGATTCCTTGGCGTAATATTGGTTGCTAAAGTTCATAAAAGTCATTCATCTGAAAGAGTGGCCACCGTGGAGGTGGATGAGGAGGAGGTGATGGGGGTGGTGGTGGTGGAGTATGTCGCAACCGCGCGATATCAATTTGATCAACATGCTTCGATCACCGAAAATCGATTCACAAATGACACCTTGAAGGCAGCCAAGCCATATCTCAAGGACTCCAGAAGAAAACCAAATTAGCGTCTCTAGTCTGTCGAGCCGGGGAATGGCTCACGGAGATGACTACTGGATGTGGCAGTGCTCTTCCTTTGAAGGGTATTATAGTGGATATGGATGATATGCCGATCCAAGGGAGAATTATTTGAGATTGTCTCGTCTAAGGGAAGCTAAAGCCTCGTTATTGCGCTGATCCAATTGTCTACGGCGTGTCGCAATGAGGCTGCTTATCGTATCAATCTCATCGCAGGATTTAGAGAGGAAGGAACCTTGGAAATTATGTAGTTGCATGGGAAGAGTATTGGATTGGAGCTGGGGATACTGGAGAAACGTATTGCGTGTATGCTTTGTTGGTGACATACATACTAGTACTAGTCACTGGATATATATATGCCTTTACTTCATAGTTAGCTACCTAGCAGTATACCATCCCAGTTGTCAGGAAGAAAGCACAGCTAACGTAAACTGTACACAATGGACCACGTGGACCGCGCGCCTCCTGGGAAGCTTCCCTCCCTATCGGTAGTAAACTAGTAAAAGTAGTAGTAAGTAAGTAATCCACACCAAATTCCTGTGTGAGAGCAATCAAGTGGCAAAATGATCCTTCTCCCGGCCACCTAATGACCTGTCCCATATCTTTTGCCCCCTCCTTTATGCGATTTGCGATTTGTCTCATGCTGCTCCGTACTCCAGACTCCGAACCCCAAACTTTTCGACTAAAGCTCTAACATACCAACCTTATCGAGGGGCGATCGATTGAGCTACTGTACTACAAGAAAGACTAAACGATCGCTCTAATCGGGGTAAGCGAGGGGGGGGGAAGAAGAGCGCTCTACCTATGGAGGGATAGAGGTAGGTAGGTTAGACCGGTGCCCTTCTTGCGCAGTGAGGAATCCAGGAACCGATCTTCGAATCTTACTGCGTGCATGCGCAGTGCACCCATTTCGTGCAGTAATAGGGAGGAGTCGTACTACGAGTTCGGTGCCACAGCGACGGTCTCAATAATGTGCCTTGCCAGCCAGCTGGTATCATAACTTTTATATTATGTGGTAATCAATCCCTAGCTAGGATTACGTGACGCCCAAGAATACCACGTCTTACACAAGGCCAAATTGAGAGTGTTCTATGAAGCATCGTGGGGACATCGAATATGATTCGGATATATTTGAAGGAATGAAATATTTCTAATGTCAGATTCCACTATCAATTTCTTAACTTCGACTACTACCTGGTTAGACACTGGCTAGTATCTATCTCCTGTAGTGATCCATACGATATCCATTTCTGCAGGTAAGAAATCTGCTGAGGGAATGCCTGCATATGGCGCTAACCGAAAGGGGATGTGCAGGTTTTTTTTCTTATTTTGTATTTTGATTTTCCCTTTAGTGATTATTCTTCCCTGCTGCTCCAGTGGAGAGTTCCCGGCGTGCCCGGTTCTGCCGATGAGCTTACCTGCTCATTACTAGTGGGTAAGTAGTCCTGCTCCTACTCCCTGCTCAGGAGGTGCTGCTAACTTGCTCTAATCCCAGACCCAAAACAAAGATACCGCCGTGCTCGCGAGGTTGTCTTGAAAGAGAATGCGATGAGCAATCTCCTTTCGAGGCAAAGCGAGGAGAGCTGTCCTCTCCACCAGCGCTGCTTCAGTTCCTTGATTTCCCGCCACCTCCAGACTACACCACACACGCTACACAGGGATTCGGTTGGGACAGGCTACTCCATATCGACTAGACTGCCAATCCCTAACACATGCACACAGCACAGACACCTGGGCAAGTGACCATTCACCATTCGGGCACCAATAGTGTCAATCATGGTCTGTGTGTAAACGGTAGGACGGTTTCGCCCAGCCTATTCGGTGACTATCCTCCAGTCAGCCTCACGAGTAATACGAAAGGCCATTACTGCTGCTTGGACGGGCCGCGTTCGGGAAGCTGTTTGACATGTTTCCACAGACGGGTGTCGAGAAGGTATGACAGCAGCAGCTCTTTTGCGGGGGATGCCCCCGTCGCAATCTGGAAACCTGCCGGAGAAACGCCCGAACCCATTGGATGGGTTTCTCACCTTTGCAACGCCATCAAGCACCTGTCACCAACCTTTCTCCGTGGACATGGCTTCGCCTGACATGGGCGCAACAGAGTCGATCGCTACAGGTGTCAACCCGGTGCTAGGATTAGCACGCGACGAGAGCCTACCAATGCAAGTCAACCGAAGCGCGCGCGGTTTTCGTTTTTCCCAGCCTGCTTTTTTACTTTTTCCCACCCTAGCCGCCACTGGACTCATCACATTCCCACCGGTCTGGAACCTCCACAACCTCCTTTTTTGCGATCACAGCGCGTCGCGCCGAGCAAGTCCGGCACGGCGCGCAGTTGCTAACAAGGAAGGGAGTGGAGAAGATCGTACCTACATTCTATGTATGTGAACGGAGTAGTCTGTTCTGACGTACATGCGCATATACATGCGATTGTTGAGGACAATGATCAATGATGAAGACTCATATCATATGCACTGGCATCGTTGCAGTCCCGCAATGGCCGTCCCGATTATCATTACTGCCGTCGCTCCTGATTGCGATCGCAGAGACTGGGCATGTGACACTTTGGAGAAACGACCCTACCCATGGCTCACTAGTAAGTGGCAGTTACATCTTTCTTTCTTTTTCTTTTTCCGTCTCTTTCCCCCCTGATTCCTTTGATGGCAGCAACGGGCTAGAAAAGGAAGTCTGCCTTGGGAAGCAAACGGGATAAAGCAAGCCATGGCATCTCCAAAGCCCACCGTGCCCAGGATGGGGGACCAATAGCCACGACGCATGGGCGGAGATGTCAAGTTGCGAGGATCAGCATCTGGACAAAGCGCGACCCTCGGGCAACAGGACGATCCGAGTCTCTAGATCCCGCTATGTGACTCGATACCAGCCAGGGAAGAGCAATGGCTAAACGGTATGAGCTAGGCGACGGGAAGGACCTAGTCTACACCACGTAAACACAGCTAGACTGCTACCCATGCATACTCCGTACATGATTAGACTAAGTGACTCGAATAATGAGTGCGTGAGTAAGACCTGACGGGACCTCAGTCCCAACTACCACCCACCCCGGCTTAGTCCCGCACGAAGGCAGAAAGGATTAATATAGATACATTAGTTGGGTAGCCATCATGGCCCATGCCATGTCCGTCGGGTCTGCCTGGAGATTAAAATAAAATTCAGGGGCTGAGCAAAACAGCCCCCAGGTTAACTAACTAGATATTTAGTTAGTTCCTGCCTACTAGGAAGAAGTGGGAAGGTGACAGTCACTTCAAAGTACCCTTTTTCTCCATTCTCATTGGTAAAAGACTCCTTCGTATTTCTCCCGGCTTGCACACTAAGTTACTACTTACTACCATTTACTTAACTTGGGTAGGTGGTAGGTGTCAGACTCAAAAGTACGCTCTTGCCCTGTGTGTCGTATCCGCTTCCCCCCTTCCCCCCCTGATCAGCAACCATGTGTTTAGGCTAGACGAGATTCAGCTTGGGAGACGACCTGGAATCCTTTGGATAGTTACTTGGTTGCTCGCTCGGGATTGAAGCTAAGGGCTAAACGGTACCCATCCGTGTGGGTGTGTGTGTGTGTGTGTGTGTCTGGCCACGCACACTTTCAACTAGTTTGTTTTTTTGGTATGTCTGGGATGTGAATCCATGCAATGCTACCTTGATGCATTGAATGCTTACTTACCCATTAACTACCTCGTAAGTGTATACAATTCATACCTTAAGAAACAACCTGAATAGAGCATGATAAAGACATACCACATCACACAAACTTAACTACAAATCCACCGCTACACAAATAGAAAGTGGTGATAGAAAAGAAGTTATCTCGGAGAAAGAATCCGAATTCCCCATCACCCAGCAATCCCCGTAATTCTAATTCTAATCAAATCAACAAGGTCAACATCAACGCCAATAACAAATACACACCCATTTTTTTTGCATACTCAATTAAATACATACACACACACACACGCCACACACAACAATAATACACGACTAATATAACCCCCTCCCCCCCTGCTGACCTGGACTAGCCTTTCTAACCGAGAGAGGAAATGCTCAAATCCGAGCCTCACTATGCGGAGTATTCTGGTTGGTTGATTGAGATGAAGTGGAAGGATTTGACGATATGGACTGTAAGTGATGCTTTCTGGGCTGAAGGATGTTCAATGAAATCGGTCTAGATGTACATATGTATGTCAATTAGTAGTGGTTAAGGTTTTAGGTTCTGTCGTTGCCTTCTTGCCTGCTTTTGCTTTGCTGGGGTAGTGGGTGCGGACCATTTATGTTTAAGAGTTGTGGATTGTGGATGTATATTGTTTGCTGGATGGGTACTAGTCAAGTCAATAAGTAGTTGTTTGGTATGGGGTATGGTTTACTTTTGTGGGGATGGTCATGTTCTTACTTACTGCGTAGTAGACTTAGACTACTTCCACATATGTGGAACTTGCACGCACACACACACACACACAGCTACATAGGCAGTAAATGAATAACATCGACACAATAATCCAAATCACCCACCCTATACTCTGACACACGCACACACACACCTCACCAACAAGCGATCCCAACAACTTGATAGAAAGACGAGAAATCGACTCATCAAATCCACCATCTAGAATTACCTTTCCACCATAAAACCCAAAATACCATCTACATCTAACCGACATGCATATCTATGAAAAAATGTCCCCATTATTCATGGTGTAGGGGCGTAGTATATTGCGATATATGCGAAAGGATCAAAGACAGATAAACCAATCACGTTCGCCCGATCACTGTGATCGAGTGTTTACTAAAGGTCATTTGATCGTAGGGGCCTGAGCACTACTTACTTATGCTCAGTGATGGATATGGATGCAGCATTTCGGCATTAGGGAAGGGGAATAGGATCCGAGAGGATACTTTACTACTTACTCACTACTCACAGTATACTATATTTATTTCCTATCTATACAGTAATACTAGAGAATAATATCAAATACCGGAGTTATACGCAGATAAGTATATCGAAATCAAATTGTTGTTATTGTTGTTGTTGTTGTTGTTGTGTCTGCTGACGCTGATCATCCTATCGTGATCCATCCATCCATAGGACAATAAAACCCCTCCTACAATCACATAGCAAGTGTCTAGTAGTTAGTAAAATCTCGCCTCACAGCACTAAAACCTTCAAGCAACCCTTCATGGAAGTACAATTCCGAGTGGAAGTAGAAACGTACACGATCAGCAACATATTTTTTTTTCTTTCTTTCTTTTCCCCCCTTTCATACAGCACTACGTTAGGAAGTAGGTATGCAATGGGCCTATTCGGACTTATGTACGTATGAGTAAGATGCTAAGCTACATCGAGTATGTGACTGACTAGCACGTACGTGTCAGATGCGATGGATTTGATTTGCGATTGGGGAAGAACACCCACCCCCAAAAAAGTGATTACGTTGGAAATGGACTTACTAAAAAGTAGGTGATGGAGATGATCGGATTCTTTTCTCCGTCTCAGCTACACTTGTCTATCTACTTGCTTGGTTAGTGTGGTGCTACTGCTACTGCTACTACGAGGAAAGGAGGGAGGGCGATGCGTGTCATAGGTAGATGGGTACAGCTGGGTGGGGATGAGGAGAGTCTGTGAGATGCATGTCAAATTATCACGACTGTCAGTGACAAGCTGATTTGGATTTGATTTCTTTTTGTTCTGGAATCTCGGGTATGGCGCTGTTATTGTGAGAAGGTGTCAGGTTACAATGGTATCTCACTCATACTGCTGTCTGCTTCAAGAGACTGACGACGCGGTTACCGACAGAATATGCATTGATTTGCCTAAAATAGAGCGCATTTCCTCTCCTCGGGTCCTGTGCAACATCATGCATTTCTATTGTGGAGCAGTCTTTCACACGTCTAGTCAATCTAAGACAGGAACATCGATTCAGCCGATGAAAAACCAAAGTAAATGCCCAACTGAATGTCGTAATGCCAAATACATCCAAGCCGTCATAATACACTCTGATCATGCCATGCAATGTAGACGCTGCTTCCGGTCGTCTAATATCAAATGCGAACAAAAGTGGTATATGAAACAAAAGAGTCAAAACACGAACACCAACCCAGCCTCAGTTCAGAAACTGAGTCTCCGGCTGCTGTCGAAGGAGATAGTGGAAGATGCGCCAGATTCCCTTCAGCGCCTCCACACGGTCTTCGCCCTTGAGGAGGTCGTACCACCGGGTACGTCGTAGCTGTAGAACATACCACGGTTGCTCCGGCGTGTCGGTTACAGGCGGGAAGTTGCTGGACCCATTGGTGATAACTTCGAGATATCGTCGGTGTACACGCAGATGAAGGATCGACACATGATGATTGATAGAGGACAATAGATAGATCTGCCGTTTCAGTTAGTTTCTATACATGTAACCTAAACAAAGCATGCATTGGAGCAGGACGCTTACATCGTCAAATGCACTGTCAAGCGGCTTTCCAATCTGTATATACCGCATCCGCTTATCCCAAAGACCCGGCCCAGGCTGAATAATCTTCCACCTGTCGCTGTTACTCATTTTTCGCGCCGAACTCGGTCGACGCGATGCGAGGAACGGGTGCTCGTACTTGGAGCGTTTGCGAGCATATCCAGACTCCGATGGCAGCTTGTCCTCCCCATGTGTCTCCTTCTCATTGTCACTGACGGAGTCGTTGGGGGCGCCGCCCCATCGGGGCACTGTTGTCCACCACTTGCCTTCACCTGGTCTCACCTCTGCTTCCCCTTGTCTCGCCCGTTCCTGAGCTGTCAGGAGCATGGCACCCACCTCCCGAAGCAAATCACACACTTCTCCCATGCCAGAGCCTGGGGCATCGTGTGGCCCGCGCCACGAGGTCTCGGGTCGGCACTGAGCTGCAAAGATAGGCCCTTCCATTATACCGCTTCGCGCCAATTGACGGTCCTTTGGCGATCGTGCGGCCTGGAAAGTGTGTCGGACAGGGAAGAGCAAAGTCTTCACAGCCAGCCGAGGTGGAGAGATAGGAGGGGCTGCCTGGCAGCCAAAGGGCCAAGCAGCCATTTCGGCCAAGGCTCGAACGGTCTCCTCGCGCACATCCTCTGGCATCTCGTGTCCGGCACCAAGACGGCGGCCCTTGTACATAGTAACCATTTCTTCCTTTGTGTCTGGCTGCGCCTGTGAACCGTCTTTTGTCGCTTCTGCAGGCGGCGCTGGGTCGACGTCCATGGATGTTTCCGAATTGTCTTCGGCCGCTGGCGGTTGGGCATCCCCATCCGTCTGCATCTTGTCTGTGCCTTCTTCTTGCTCTGCCGGTGGGGGCGGCGATTTCGGGCGCTCGTAGTACTCGTCCAAACTGGTATCCCAATATTGGGCCATCCGTTCTAGGCCTGTCCAGAATTTTCTCGTTTGAGCCACACGCACCCTTGGACGCCCGTCGCGGGGCGGCAGTCTGCCCACCTCTCTGAAAGCGTCATCGTTATCCAGTAGGAGCTCGTTCTGCAACGCCTCGAATCGGTCTCGGGAGGGATATGAATTGCCGTTGTCCATCAGGATAGGACAGCCATCCTCATCTACCGGGGATGAGCGAGCTGACAAGTTATCCCAAGGGAGCGGAGGAGCTGTATTTGCCCCGCTCGGACGAACGATGTCTGCTGCAGACACATTCTCTTCTAGTCTCAGATTGAGCGCCTCGAATTTCTGCGTGTTGATATCCTGTGGCCGTCGAATTGACGCCAGCACTTCACTCAGTCTCGACAGAGTAGCCTCCGGGTCCTTATCCGAAAGTTCCGGTAGCTGGTAGACGGGGAAGTCAAGGGGCGTGGGGGCGGGAGGAGGACGGCGCTCTTTCTCCGGCTCTGAGCTCACGGAGGGCAGGCCTGCATCGCGTGTCAGTATCAGCGAGTGGGCTCTGTGAGTGCGCTCAGGTCAGTCAGCCAGGCTGACAGCAGGCCTGGAGGGTTGGGGGCCATAAATGCAATTGAACATGGATCAAATGCTGACACACAAGTTGTCTCTTAGAAGCTGGAGACGATGGGACAAGGCGCGACCGGGTCAGCGACCGGGACTCTCCATCATCACACCACCACCAACACCACTCTAAGCACTTTCCGATGGGCCCACGCCAATTCCGCACGACTCATAGAAAGCAGAAGGAAGCGCACAAGAGACGAGACGACTCTGTAAAGAAAGCAAGGGGAAGGCGATTGACGACCGAGCGGGAGGGCGAAGCTTACCCAAGGTACTACACCAGCCAAACATGATGCCCGTAATTAGAGTGCGGGAAGGCGGAACGGGAACCAGTGATGGTTTGTGGCTTCTCTAGTACTCTATGCGCCGAATGGAACCGAATCAACAGACTAAAAAGGGATGCGATGTGGATGCGATGCGAGATCTCAGCACTAGATGGAGGCTGAGTGGCTTTAGTTCATCACTTTGCGATGTGAAACTAACCGGCAGTGGGGGGAAAATAAGAGAAGCACGAGGCACACAGGAGGAAAGACAAATGAGAGGGCGGAAATCAAGTAGTGGAAAGCAGATGAACCAGTCAGCGGAAAGAATGGGACTTTGTTGTTAACCGATAGTGGCAACCAGGAATGGAGGAGAAGAGGCAGTGGGAATTGTTGGATGGATGTTGGATAAAGGCGAGGATGGCAGTGGAGAGGGAGAGAGAGAGAGGGGGAAGTGCATGCATTGAAATAAGATAGCAGTGAAAGAAAGAGTCGAATGGTCAAATGGTTAGTCGCCTTCAGTTTGCCTTAGCCTCTCGTTAGTCCTTCGACACTCCCGGGCTTCATGGAATCCATCATGCTCCCCTCCAAGTGGAGTTGGACCCATTCAATTCGTTCCCTTTCTTCCCTTCCCATCTTATCGCCAATACGTATCCATTCATTTCATCCATCCGTAAATCCACTAAACATTTTTGCCTCTGAATTCTATTTTACCCGCCGAGAAGGTGCCTGGCGATTTCCCCGGGCCCAATATTGCGGGGGAAGGAAAAAGTATGGGGATAACCATGGCTGCCCAGCGCCCTCCCCCATTCTTGGGCTCTTCGAAAGAACAGAAACCCTCTCTATGGGCTGTGATGTCAATTGACTTCCGATCCACCCTTTCCTGATGGCGTTTCGACCAATACATGCCCCCCCAATTCTGGGTGAAGGAGGGGACTGTAGTAGACGTGATCCCTGGAAGGGAAGATGGAGATCACAAGTCCCGCGGTGGCAATTCTGTCTCCTCTTCTCGAGTATGGCGCAAGTGCAACTCCGTCCATATCCGGGGATATTATCATGCATACATATAAATCGATTAGGTCACCTCGTGGGTGATTTCATGAGATTTGAAATCCGAGAATTGAGTCTAAGTATGATTTGCACCCAGTAGATGCCACTATAGCTGTCAACGTCTGATCGTCTCTCGGACAAGGACCAACTGATCAATTCTTCATCCGAAAGATGGGACTGTCCCAATCAGGCTAGTTCATACTGACTCAGCCTGCACATGATGGCACTAATGTGGAAGTGGATTAGCGGTGGCTGACTGGGTTGTCCCAAAAGAGTAACTCAGTCACGGGGCCCCCACTTGATTGGCGCCAACAGCCAATGAATATCTGCCAATCACATTTTCCTCACCATTACTTAATTAATCCAATCAGGCAATGGACCCAATCAGTCCATCATCTCCATCATCGCCCTTTTTCCATCTATCCATCTATCCCATCGTCCACTATTCAGCATGGTTCAGCTCCGTCAGATAGATGAATCCATTCGATGTGCCATGTTGTGACTGACTTTGGTTCCCTAGGCTTATCCCCCTCTCCACCCCCTTCCATAATCCAATAAGACCGTTCCAACGTCTGGTGGTTCCTGACCACCCTCAAGGGCCGTTAACACAACGCGAGGGGCGAGGGGCCCAAACCCCCCTCTCTGGCCAGCGACTAATGCCGCCCAGCACCTTCGTTAGAGCTGCCTCTGCATCGCGGATTGGATGTCTTGGATGACTGCGGTTTCATCCACTTCCTCAAGGGCAGCAATTTCTTCCACACACCCCCCTGCTTCCTGTCGTCACAGCCGGTTTGTTGGCCCACCTGTACATGGCGCTTGGCCAAACACAATGGCCTGCTTTTTGTTTGTTTCCAGGGACCCTGGTCCTCTTCTCTTCTCGTTCCCATCCCTGCTCCTTCACAGCCTTCTTTTTTTATAGCTTCTTCAATATATCTGAATCTCTCTTCTTTCTTCACGTGTGATCGAAATCTCACGCGTTTTTGGCCCTCCCGCCTCACCAGCCTATCCTGAAACAGGTGCACCACCTCCAGGCTATTGCCTCTGACATCTGCTGTCATGGCCTGCCTGTCTCCTCCCGGTAGAGAGAATCAGCAATGAGTCGGCCTTAGCATGTGTGTATCTGCTTTCTTCGACTGTACCCACGGCTTCCGTTTGTTCACTCTTTCCATACCTTCGTGAGCCGGTCATTCACTACAATATCAAGTACCACCTTTGCCCGCGGCCTCCCCCCGCTCTTTTACGCGCCAGCGGCCTTAAATCCAGGGATTCCCTCTTTTGTTACTTTACAATCATACCTGGTTCTTCATGCAGGCCACGTTCTTCTCTTCTTCCCCTTCTTGATCCAGCAAAGTACTTTTTGCGTCCTCCGGCCTGCGGGCTTGGCGACATGTCCAGGTCGAGCTCTGCGGTTCTCCATCAGAGTTCGAGATGTGCAACTAAGGTTCCTCGACACTCCAACATAATAGTGTCTTCTGCACCAGTAATCACCAGTTCTTCCTTCACCTCAGCCGCTTCCTCTCCCTCATTCACAAATCCGGTCCCCGCGTCCTCGACCGAGAGCTCATTGTCAATCGAGCCCTCCCCGTCCAACACATGGCATTCAACAGCTGCAGCTGCAGAAGCTCTTACAGATGCCACGGCTACAAAGTCGTCACAACCATCGGTTGGTGACTCAGTGGTCGTCCCGGCGACAACTGCATCCTCTATCCTGGCAAATCCCAGCGACTACAATCTCATACAAACACACACGGAGGATGGCACTCATTTGCATATGCCTGTGTCCTCACGGACAAGTTCAATATCAAGTTACCAAACGCCCATGTCGACATCAGAATCCTCCACTGATGTACTAAGCCCCATAACGTCAACGATGTCAACGACACAGTACCCTCACAGCTCTTCTACTTCGTTTATTCCACACTCAGCAGTAACTAGCGCTGTCACTTCAGCCAATAGCTCGTCGCATGGCTACATAGATCAGTCGAATCATGGTGACTCTCACTCCTCACTGCGCGCAATCTTGGGAGGCGTTCTAGGAGGTGTAGCTTTTGTTGCTCTTGCGCTTGCAATAGGTTATTTCGTGATGCGTCACAAGCGGCGCAAACCCCGTGACGAGTTGGTCACTGGCACGAGTGAAGAACACCTGCAAGATGACCGCAGTCCGGCTACTTCCTCAGCAGGCTCACATCAAGTATATCAGTCGTGCGGGTCATCTTTCACCGACAACTCCTCTACCCCCTCCAGCCCTCTTCGCGCTATGTTCCCGGTATCAATTCCGGCCAAGAGCTACCAAGCGCGTCGGACCCCTTCCGGTCCGAACATCCTCTCCGATACAAACCCTTTCCTAGACTCTGCGGAGATCAAGTATGTGTCGCGTGGTAGTGGCGTTCCCAGCACCGCGGGGACGCTCCGCAACCCGTTCGCTGATGCCGCTCCAAGTCACACTGTCGTCATGCGACAATCATACATGTCGCAGCGACCCGCGTCAGCTGCCTGGTACTCCATGCATAGTGATCGCAGCTTAGGCAGTACGGTCCACCTCCCGGGGCGGAGCAGTGCGGGAAGTAGCCTGCAGCGACTCAGCTACCCGTTCACCGTGGCTGAGCTAGAAGCATGCGAGCCCATGGCCAGACTAAGCACGCGCAGTGACCCCTTTGATCTGGAATGTCCACCCCACGGTATGCACAGGCGTAGTTCTACCGCCATACCGGTGGGGCACGTCTAACTTACGGCTGAGGAGAGAGAAGATAGAGCTTTTTGCTGCCCGCACACAGAGTGTAGGACACGGAGAAGCACACGAGATACGCGACATGAGTCCACGCTATCCTCTTCGATCAAGCATATGGAGTTCCCGTTTGGTTCGTTGAGCAGGGAATGCAGAGAGATGGAGCGGATTTTACTTCAGGATAGATGTATATGTATTTTACTTATGATTGGTTCTGGTTATTATCAGGCATGGCACGCAGGTGGTGAGTAGCGAAGGGTAAGTAAGGGTGTGCCATGCTCCCACGGCTGTATTTGTATGTGTACGATAATTACATGTGCAATTGTCGTGTGCGAATACAATTTCCAAAATTCCTATTTCGAATATGATACAGCCTAGTCACATATCCATCTTCTAGTAATACTATTTGTAGTACTAAGTAGACCAAACCTTTATGAAATGGAGATACATATGCTGAACGCCATACCAATCATCATAAGTTAAACATATAGATTCAACCCTTGTAGCATCTGATTCGGCCGTTACCTAGCTCAAGTTCCAATTATTAAATAAAAATCGAAATTGCCTTTCAATTTTATTTTCTTCGCAGCATTCTTTAACCCCCTTCAACGTTCGGTTTTACGAACTGAAATAAAGGGAGTGTGATGGCAGTGGATATATATTCTCATTCAACTAGTACTGAATCTACCCCCGCGATTCCCCACCGCAACCGCCTCCTTGAAAATTCATCCCTACTAGTAAGTAGTAATAGAGAAGCAGCACTACTTCTGATCAATGGAATATCAATAAGTATACATATATATACGTATATACCATCAACATCAGACTTTAGTTTTCAATTTGACATTTAGACTCACATACAACTTTTCCGTCTGGAAATAGCCCCAACGGAAAATTCAAGGCTAAGCTACTAGTAGTAGTGCGGTGGAGGCTGTTCCACACAGACCTAGTTGAACAGCTGAGATGTTAGAAGAGACGAAATAGAAGAAAACAAAATTGAAGGGTGGAATTCTGAGAATTTCCAGTGAAAAGAGGTAATTTAAATGATGGAAATCGACAAGAACATTTTTCTACATCCATAGATAGAGGGGGGAAGGTATTAGTCCATTTATGAGAGTGAAGAAAGTGGGGATGATTTACTTTATTCATTCCCAGGCTGAATGTGAGGGGTGGGCTTGGTTTGACGTAATACGAAGGAGAGAGGGGGGGTTTTGGCTGCATTTTCAATAGTTTATGTATGCAACCTAAACTACAACAAGTAACATTCTAGACCATTACAAGGAACCGACTATTGTGTTAACCCTCGGAATGATATTCAGGATGTGCGTTACGACATTACATGTTCAGTGCAGAGGAAAAAGAGGAAAGAAAAAGCAGCGTGTGCTTGGGGAGAAAGCAGCAGAGGGACAGATATATCCGGGCGGGAGTTGGCTGGATTTTAATATCGAATAGCAGTTCAAAGGCGATTTTCACGGTCAAGGAAGGAAAGAGTTGGCGAAAGGATGAAGAAATAGTAAAAAAAATTGGAAATTTCGTATCACACAAAGCGCCATGCCATTGTTTTGCTTTAACAGTTAGGTCTTTTTCCTTTTTTTTGCGTGGTCCTTTCACATGCTCTTCCCCGTGAAGAGGAAGAGACGGGGATGACGATGATGGTGATGATGGTGCATATCCTTGATCCCCAACCCTGTTCCAGGCTCCCGATACGATCCAAACAACCCCGTCCCGGATGAATCGAGCCACCGAGCCAGACCTGCAACGAACACGGAGTGGTCGATCAGAGTCCGTGGGCTGATCGATTCCCTCCCCCGTTTCAACCTCCGCACCGCCCAAGTTCCTTAGCTGAGGAAATTTACTCCTGAGCCTCAGCAATGAGGGCGTTCTGCTTGGCCTCCTTGCGCTCCAGACGTCTCTCACGGAGAGCCTTGTTCTTGGCACGCTTAGCATCCATCTCCTCCTTGAGGACGCGCTCACGGTGACGCTCAGCCTTGGCCTTCTGGATCTGTAGTACGGAAAGAGATCATGTTAGCCCCTATTTCCTCATCTTCCCAACAGAAGACCGTATACACTCGTTCCGTTTCGTAGTCTCGAGGGTATAGCGATTTCATCAAAAAAAAGCAAATGGCGGCGAAACTTACGTGCTCGATGAGGGAACGCTTGTGCTTGAAGGTGTTACCCTTGCTCAGGTGGTAGAGCTCGTGGTACAGGTGCTTGTCGATCTTGCCGGAGGCACGGTAGCGGACGAGCAGGCGACGGAGAATACGCATGCGGCGCATCCAGAGGATCTGGCTTTAATCCGATATCCATCAGCACACATCCATTTCATCATTTTCCTTCGCATATGGCATCTCGCTGATAGTCGTGGGCGACCGAGAAAATCCTTGCAATGGCACTCAAAGGGATTGGACAATGAGCATACCTGGGCATACGAGCCTCCTTGGTACCCTTGCGCTTACCCAGACCACGGTGTCTGCCGATGCGGCGGGCGGCGGCGAGCTCACGGGCACGGGAGCGGGAGTGCATGGTGACGGGCTTGCGGATGATGAGGCCATCGCTGACGAGCTTGCGGATGGTCTGGCGGGAGTTGGCGTTGGAGATCTCATTCATCTCATTGGGGTCGAGCCAAATCTTGCGCTTGCCGCAGCCCACCACGGAGGCGGCGAGGCGCTTCTGGGTGCGAAGGTTGACCCTGTGTGGTGCAAAAAAAAGCAGTCGGTCAGCATGAAGTCCAAACCGATCGGGGGGTTGCTGCTGCGTATGACACGAAAAAGTGCCATCTGGAGGCGAATCCGGGGCGTCTGAACGGGGGAAGAGGGGGAGGATATACAGTCCAGCGACGAACAGTATTTCCCCCCCTTGATGCAGCAAAAATCAAGAGCTGAAGATGGACTCACATCTTGATGTCGGCGTATCGACGGTCGTTGGCGGATGATGTTCGTTGCACTCGTCGACGGGTAGAATTCCCAGGGCGAGGAGTTTGAGATACGGCGGCTGATTAGCTAAGCGGTTGTGTCTGCTAAGCGAGACCAGCAAAACCCTCTGTTAGGGTTCGTGCCCCAGACGCTTGTCCCGATCCGGGGAACACCGCCGGGAGCCGCAACGGCGCATTACAGCATTTGGCTGGAGCAATGCTACAGATGCTGGGTTGTTTGGAACGTGATCTGGACTGGATTTACTATCTACATTGTTACTTTTTCCTGAAGGTTCAACTTCTCAGCGCACGACTCAATCTTCTATCCGTCGCTCGGCGGTGGACCAATTCGGGCAGATGCGCCATTCCGGATGTTCCACGTGATCTCTAACTGTTGTACTTGTGTTGTATCAGTTACGTATGGATGACTGAGGCTGACATCAAAACCGACCATGGAAAATCTGCGGAAACTCAAAACAAATGCATTGCTCATCTCATAATATGTATCAACATGCTTTTCTTTTCCTCGTTGGAAGTTGGACACACAATATCACCCCAACTCTTTCACCCACATCAACAGAAGGGTATAGATAGTAGCAGATAAGAGAGCTAGTAGATCTAAATCATCTCAGTCTAGCCCACCTCGACACCACTTACTCATCCCCAAACGACCCATCCCCGAGATCAACCTTTCCAATGCTCCACAATTCCCTTTCATCCTCTACCTCATCATTGGACAATCCCAGCCCTCCTTGTCCACCTTCCGCTTCCTTGCGCTCGCGGGCCTGGGCGGCAAGACGGAGCGCGACACGCTTGAAGTAGTCCGACATGCTCCGCTTGGGTCCCGGTGGCAGCGCAGCTCCGGGTCCGGTCATGTACTTCTCGAACACTGCGCCTTCGGACTCCTCCACAGAGAAGATCGCCAGGAATGCTGCCTCAGCCGCCAGCTTGACAGGGATGACCACGTCGCGAACGCTGGCGAAGATAGGTGGCGCCAAGAGGGCCAGATGAGGCCGAGCCAACTCGGGGTGAAGCCGGCTGACCGTGCGCATCACCACCAGAGACAACCGCCGCGTATCAGACGGCGTACCGGGCTGAATGCAAGGCGCCAAGGCCTCAAAAATGGCCTTGTTGTCTTCGAAGTTGCGGTGTTCATCCTCGATCAGGAGGTACTTTCCGGCAGCGAGGACGCTGTTGTCGGAAATAAAGGGCTACTTAGGATTAGCATCACTTCTCAAAAAAAAACCCCAAACATAAGTACTTACATCCTTGTTCGTGACACCCTGGCAGATCAGAGCCTGAGTCTCCGCGGAGAAGTGCTCGGTCAAGGACGACGGAGACTCAACCAGCAGGGCGTTGAGACCCAGAATCGATGCGTGAGAAGGTGTGGCCGTGAGGACCCGGTTCTTGATCAGCGGGCCAGCAGTGGCGGCCGGGAGGACCTTCACCAGTGCACCAAGCAACTTCGCGTTTGTAATAGCGACAGCATCCGTTTGGTCACTGGCATCGTCGTCAATAAGAGCGAGAATGGCGTTCTTCGACGCCTCGCTCATGTTAGCGCCGGCCTTGCCCACCACCTCTTGAAGTGCCTTCATCATTGCGTTTCTCACACCGACGTCTTCCGTCTTGGTACCCGTGATAAGCTCCGCAATGAGAGGGTCAACACGGGGTGTCAGGGTGATCAGGATACCAAGACCCTTGGCGGCCCTGTTACGCAGAGTCTCGCTGGATGCATCAGCCAAACCACGCGCGAAGGTTCGTTGAAGCTGTGGCAAGAACGGCTTGACAGCGAGGGGTATCTTCTCCAGAAGCTTGTTGAGGGTGAAGAAGATAGCGCCTAGTGTAGTCAATTAGTATAATATAATTTTCAGTGAAATTGTAGAAAGCAGCTTACATTTAATATCCACCGATCGCTCGGACACAACACGAATGAGGGGACCAGTGATCTGGGTCACGAACAGCTTCAGAGAGTCTGCGCCAGTGCGATCGATGATGTCGCCGATGGCGAGAGCTGCCTGCGTACGCTGCTCGACGCTGCCGTTCAGAAGACCTTGCAAGAAGATAGGCAGAATGGCTGTGATACCCTTGGGCAAGCTGAAGCCAGGAAGGTTGGCACCCGGAACTCCAACACTCCGCAAGGTCTGGCGAGTGGAAATGGTAAGGACTTCCATTTCTTCTTTGCGCAGATGCTTCGTGAGTCCACTGAGAGCCGTCCACGCGGCCTTGACGACATCCTTGTCTCTGTCATCGAAGGAGATGAGCAGGACACGGATCAGATCCTGGTGGTACCTGGAGTAGTCGATCTCCGCATTCGAGAAGAAATTGTTGAGATGAATAGCCGCGGTAGCACGACGGTGATGGTCATCGTGCTTCATCAGAGTTATCATGACGTTCATCATGACATTCAAGCCATCGTACTCATCCACCGAAACCAGGATCGTGTCAAAGGCACTGCCAAGTTCTTCGCGGTGAGCCTC